TTTCCACCATATGGAAAATCGAGGAAAATTTAACTCAGTCTATGAGTAATATACGTTTTTTGCGAATTTGAGTTGGTTTAATCGGTCGTGTGCATCTCGTCCGCCTACGCATCATCCGTTTTGCCCGTTGAGCAGTTGGAATTGATTGATTTTCCACACGATTGCACTCGACCTATCTACTCTTGTTGTTATAATTTTATTTATCTGGATTTTATCCCATGTGCATCACTCCTCCACCTCGCCTTTTTCCGACAGTAACTAGCCGATGATCGCTTGTCAGTTAGTACGATTCCCGAAAACAACATCGAAATCGAGACAATACCAGAGAGAATGCACGTTTAATTGAAAATTGACACAATTCGTTTGTACAATACACTGAAACAAAACAAAACAAAAAAATGGTACATGAAATCACCGGCACTCACGCATCCGCATCGGAATCGAACAATTTTCCTATATGGAGATATGTATTCAAGGGATCTGTTCTACCGTAACAACAGTAACTGTTCTACCGAGGGCTGTGGGGGGGATTATGAGGGAAGTGATGGATGGTGCAGCTGCAGGCTACGAATGGAGGTGACTTTTTGTTGCTTCCGGATTCAAGAATCATTGGCCATTGTGTGTCTGTTTTTGTGTGGGAAACGAGCATTGAGTGTGTTTGTGACTGTGACTGTGTGAACGAATACATTCGGTGAGGGAAAGCTAATTGATTCAACTACACGCTACGGGGCACACACTGCTCTAAGCAATCTAATCTTCTAAAAAAAAACATGCAATACGGAAGTGGAGAACAAATATGCGGATACAATGGAAATCGAACTACTTTCGGAATGGGCGGCATTGGGGACAGCCCAGGATCAGCGGGGAAAGACAGGCAGACAGACAGAGAGTTCGGTGGATGGACCGCAGACCGGCAGGCAAAGCTTCTGTGCTTGTTTGTGTGATCGCTCAAGAGATCTCGAACTAACGGCTCTATACCGGTTGCTTAGATTGTTGAGAAGTTCTCTGAAGCGATGAAGACCAAGCGGATAGATTGTCGAATGGGAGATTTTTTTTTTGCACCAGACGATTTCCATGCTGCATTGAACTATGATTTTTTTAAATGTTTTTCTGGTAATTTAAATGACAGATTCACAACTTGCAGTTTGACGTAAGGACTGCATTCTGGCGTCGTAGTTGAGTTAGTCTATGCTTAGTGATCGAACGATTTCATTTCACCCTCTCTGAATGCCATGAAACTTCGCATAATTACTCACTAGGGGAAATGAACCGAGTTTGTGCAGGAATCCGGCTATTTTGACTCACGCATAATTTTTCAAAATGGCGTATTAGATATTTTACAATAAAGCATAGCACGAAAATGGCTTATCTTATCGACATGATGTCTGAAACAAAGTTGTAGGAAAATGGATTGCCTTTCGGAAAAAAATACACACTGAATAAAAATCAAAAAAAATCGCCAGAAATTAACAATTAATCCGTTAAAACCTTCCATAGCAAAAAAGTTAATTTTTTTTTAATTTTTCAGGTTATGTTTATTTAAAAACTGATCAAGAAATCTAACTTTTCTTTTACTGGACACAATGGACACTATAAAGTTGACCAAAATCGTAGAACATCAACACTTTAGTAAAAAAAAAATGAACTTTTATTTCTCACATATAATTTTAATTGATTTTTGAGATCCAGATTTTGTTTTAAACCCAGGAATTTTTTTACTAAAAAATTACACAAATATCGCGTGAAAAAAGTTCAACCATTTAACTAAAAGTTGGTGTTTTACGATTTTAGTCAACTTTAAAGTGGCCATTGTGTCCAACATCAGAAATGTTAGCATTTTCGAATGGCTTTCAAATAACTATAAGTTTAAAAGTGGAAGTTTTTAACAGCTTTTGATTTAGTTTTTGACAAAATCTTGTCATTTTTTAAGAGTGTATTCGGTCAGTTTCCTACAACTTTGTCTCAGACGTCATTACGGTTAGATGAGCCATATTCGAGCAATGATTTATTAAAAAAATATCAAATAAGCCATTTTGAAAAATTAGGTGAAAGTCAAAACGGCCGAATTCCAGCACAAACTTGGTTGATTGCCCCTTGCGCACAGTTATGCGAAGTTTCATGGAATTCAGAGAGGGTTAAATCTGACATTCGTTTATATTTTAGCTATTTAGTGTGGATTTGCTCATTTACGAAGTTCAGTATTTCTATTTCTAATTACGAACGCCTTGCGTACGGAGATGGAAAATTTATGTTTGATTTATTGCACATTTTTGGAGTTGATATCTTCAATAACGGTAAAGCGGTTTATCAGCTCCAATACCGGTTACCGATAGCAATAATTTTGCGGATACAGTAGGGTTATGCGGGGCAAGACGGACCGTTGATTGGTTGATAGTTTAACTATTAAATAATAGGATTTTTGTTACATCTACTCTTAATTTACGATATTTATTGCATTCCAAGATATCCTACTTTTGTGTCTGGAAATCAGGGTTCTGCATTTTCGAAACAAAGAAAAGAAAATGAACTCTCCGCAGAATCGCTTAATTTCGAGCAATATCATTTTCGTGTAAGCCATCGTGTTTCTTGCCATCGCGTCACGATGAACATTCCTTTTTTCAAACATGACTGGACTATCACTTGTTTCGTTCTTCAAGTGCTTCAGTTCATTTCATTTGAAGCAAAGACTTGTTTCAATTGACGCAATGAATGACTAGAAAACTGCTTCCTTCGTTTTTTTCAACTTTCACTTCAATTCGGGGCTCATTCGTCTTGTCACGACCTGACGACGCAGGCATCAAAATACAGTATCCGGTTGCCGATAGGGATGGCATCCGGATTATATGTTGTAATAATATATTATTTTATATTAAACGGGAATTAAATTAACAAGGCCATTCTGGAGTCCAAGATGGCAGCCATCGGGGTCAGGAAAAGTCTCAAATATCCTACAATACGGGTATTTTCGGAACGGGGACGACGTGAAAGTGCCGAAAATCGATATTCGACGTTATTTTGGAATCCAAATTGGTGGCCATCGGATTTCAGAAAAAGTGTCAAATACCCTACAATAGGGTATTTTCGGAACGGGGATGCCGCGTAGATGCTAAAAATCGGTATCCGGTAGACCCCTTAAGAAGTTCCGGGAATTTCAGGAATGAACTCCAGAAGCTTAAGAAAACATCAGTAATATTTCGGAAACGTCACAGATGTCCAGAGAACTTCAGGGAAGGTTATTAGGACGGTTCCATTCATTTCAGGACCATACACACTTAGTTTTTTTCGTCAGCTCGGAAATTTTACTGAGCAAACAATTTTGTTGAGACTCAGCAAAATAGATTGCTGAAAGTGTGTACTAAGAATCTTTGAGAGAGCTTCAGGGACGTTCTGAAAACATCAGGGCAGTTCAATTAATTTCAAGGAAATTGCTGAAACTTTGCATGTGTTTCCAAATTTTCAAAATTATTTCCGCAGATTCCCGAGGAATAAATATCAATGAACTTGCCAGAACTTCAAAGAAGTACCAAGAACTGCAATGAAATTCAGAAAAAGTTTAGGTAAAATAAGAGATTCTAGGGTTAGTTCCAAGAGTTTCAAAAAAGTTTTCAAAACGTCAGGAAAATTACGGAAAACTGTGGAAACTTAAATTAAAATATCGAGAAATTCAGACTTAGCGAAGTTCAGGGATCATTTGTGCAGTTCTAATAACATCGGGGAAGCACATTAAACATCAGGATAATCTAGAATTTTGGGGAAGTTTAAGATGTTGAAGATTAGTTTTGATAATTTAAGACCAGTTCCATTACTTTCTGAAACATTTCGAGAACTTCATTAAAAACACTAAGAACTACATTGATTGTTTCGTTCTTATTTTAGGAAAATAGTGGGAACCTTTGGAAAGTTTCGAAAATTTCAGGGAAGTTCAAGTTACTCCTAAATTTCCTTCTATATTCCCCCATAAGTTGTTTGCAATTTAGACGAAAAAAATTGATCGATCTCATTTATAGCAGTAACTTTAAAAAATAAGCACGATCAATTTCTTTGGAAACTTGTGTCCGGTGCTTATTAGAGTTGTGTCTGCTTTCTGAGAAATGATGAAAATTTGTGATTAAGGTGAAAGTTAATGCTTTTCCGTTGATACTGACTCCACACCCGTTCGAGCCACACCGAAATTCAAAATGCACCAATACCAACAAGCACGAAGAGCTACTGATTCCGATCAATGGCGGTGCAGCTTCTTCAGCCTTTCGTTGTGTACTGTAGAACACCACCATTCAGCACGCGGTGATTGAATAAACATCGTTTGGTGAGACCGGTAGGAATTCAACTTTGAAAACTGTGTTAGGAAAATCGCTTTTCGCATGCAATCGGTGATAATTTTAATTATGATAGCCACAGTTGTACATTCGTGCAATTTTCAATAGTTATTTTTTTTTTAAATGATAAAGTCTTAAATTTGGCAGATGCGTAGGAATATTTCTGATCGATTGGTGATACAATTATTGGAATTGTTTCAGGGCAGCTGAGTTATTAACGTTCAAAATCTTTCATAATTTTGTTGCATGTTCCATTTTTGGTTTTCACAAAGTGTACCCCCATATAAAAATCATAGACGTAGTACTACGTCAACAAAATCATATGATTTAAATTAAATCGGTATATGGATGTAGTTTCCATAAGCATGAGTTTAACTTAAAGATTACTGATATTATAAGCCAAATGTAAACAATAACAATCCTTAAAGTGTCCGTCTTACCCCGATTTCCCCTATGGAATTCGTCGCTGATTTTGAAGGGTCAGCAGGTGCAGGTGATATGAATAAGATGAGATTGAAATTATCCCCAAGCGAGTTTCGAAAGAATATAAGGGTTTTAAGTACAGAGCATAAAAAAAACGGAGGAATAAAAAAAAAAAACAGGATAGAGAGAAGGAAAGAGATTAAGAGAGATTGGATATTTTTTTTCCGAAACCATGCAGCTTCTGTCGGGTGTCACACTCACGCACGGCCAGTGTCGTGACGTCGTAGCAGCTGCTACTGTCCAGCACGATGCTGGCGGCAGCGAAAGGAAAGAATGGTTTGCTACTAGTAGTGCACCGCGGCGACCCGGGACTGTCTGAGTTGGCCGAGTTCAAGCTCGGACTATGAGGCACACGAACACAGACCGAAGGCACTGGGGCCATGTGCGGTGGATTGTTACTAGCGATCGTACTGTGGTGGTGATTGTTGTTGCTGTTGTTGCTGTTGTTGTTGTTGTTGTTGTTGATTGGCGGAACTGTTTTAAAATCAACGGAAAAAAAGTAATACGGTTGATTGTTTTCGAATATGGCTTATGTGTAGTAGGAACTGGCTTTTGAGGGGAGGGTTAAAATATGATTTTATAAAAAGAAGTGCATGAAGGACCATGTGCAGTAAAGTTTGATGGTAGGAAATCGATCGATTCCCAAAAAAAAAAATCTTGGTCCTAGGTAAGGTGAGAAGTATGTCACAGAAAGCAAAAAGAAAACACCATTTTCAGCTCCAACATCATATGTACAGATTACACAGCCTGGAAGCAGCCAGCAGGGTGGAACATCGCATATCGATCTTGAATGTACTTGTTGTTGTTGTGGTTTGTACTGAGTTGTGGCTCTCGATTACTGAAAGAAATTCTGCTCGTGTTGCTAACCGTATAAAAACTCACATTGAAAGCAATAGCTTGTAAAACTGGGAACTTGGGGATGGGCGAAGGGGGTACTCTTTTGTGATTTGTTGTGTTTTGTTTTCGGTCGATGATGAGTGGTAGGTTGTTGAAACTTTTCTATGAGAAGGGGGTACGGGGTTTGATACAGGAACGACGCTAACCGAACGAGGTGAATTTGGAGGCAGGGTGTGAATGTTTGTGATGGTTTTCCGAGTTCAGTGTCAAGTTTTCCTTTTGTGTGGTTCAATCCGGTTTTTGTGGAGGGGACAGAACAAACACACCGGAGCACATATGTTTGTGGGGCAATCTCTAGCGGTTAGGTTAGTGTTTTGTTTCGTTCCCAACGAACAACAGTGTGTTTTCTAGAGAAACACGATGGTGGAGCAAACCCGGGGACCAACTCAAACATACAACTTACTACAGACTACCAATGCTAGGTGCGGGAGGTACATGTTCTGACTTACCCTCCTTCGGAGGCTGGTCGGGGCTTTGGGTTTGGTTCTGATTGACCACGAAGGCGGAATTTTCCTCTTTCGTGATGCTCATGTAGTAGCAGGTGTCGTCCTTCTTCATGATATGTCGAGGGCCCGGATTTAGCAGAATCGTCTCCTCGTAGAACTCAGGTAACTCGGCCGGTCTAACACCAACTAAGGCAACGCCGTATCTGAAAAAAAATGGAAGGAGAATGATGATGAGGACAACCTGAATGACCATAAGCATTACTTTGAAAATGGTGTTTAATTATACATTTTAAAATTCAACTATGAAAAATAGCTTCAAATGGGTACCGATTTGGTTCAAATTTTGAACAAAGCCTCCGGATTGCATAGTATTATGGCGAGGGGGATGATCATGTTTTAGACACCCTAATGGCGTCTTAATTTAGGGAAATGCGTTATTTTTGTCTTTGTTAGTTAAAAAATCTCAATAATTCATTCTACGATCAGCCCTTGGTGTGGTCTGACGTAAGTTTTCTCTCTCGTGTGTTCGCAAGTTTCCTTTCGCGCGTCTGTCTTATGCATTCTCGTTCAACAACATCGATGGCGAAAAACGAAGTTTTCACTGCTCCATGGGGAGGGCGACCGTGAAGAAGTTGAGAAAAAAGAGAAGCTACCCCCATTCTACGTGAAGCTGATCACCAAACTTAACGAACATGTCCGTAAAGGTCTACGGGCGGAATTTCAACTCTGTGCAGACGGGGTAAAAATCACCGTTCCTTCGGCGGATCATTACCAGTCTGGAAGGTGGAATACTTCACCCATGACGTTCCATCGCAGAAACCCTTCAAGATCTTCCTACGCTCCACGAACTTGATGTTTCTGACGTGAAAGCGGAGCAAAAACGCAACAACCTTCAACCCTTGAAGGTTTCCAAGATCAAACGTGTAGCATGGTCACTTTTATGTGAATATAATTTAACTAATTTAAGGATTGCCGCTTATTTATTTGAATTTATATTCTGTTTTTCCATCTATTTTTGAATTCCATTAATAATTATCGTTCACGTTATTTATTTATTATTTATATTCATTACATAATAACTACATGTTCACTTAAATTAAATTGAAATCACCATTACAAATGAAACGAATTGTAAATCCGCATAAAAACAAAACGCGTGCATACAAGCTGTCTTCCAAAATTCATTTGATCCGTCACTGGAAACGTTCACTGGTTTGCGAGACTCGTCGTAAAGTCCGAGGTTCGAATCCGAACATTCTCTCTCGTAAAAAAATCAATCGAACCAGAAATACATAGATTGAAGCGAGACAGTTTAATCAAATGGTACGAGCGAGAAAGAGATACAGTGTTCAATCGGCTCGAGATCGTAGTTGATGAGATTTGTCGTTTGAAAAGGTCGTTAATCACTTCGGTAATTGACGTACTTCCGGCCACGAAGACTATGATCACGATTTGATATGATATGAAAATGAAAAATATTCAGAACATCAGAATTACTCACAGTTTCATCGTGCAATGCGAGCGTTCAATGTGACGTGACGCAGTGTACCAGCTACCAAAATTTTTGACATGGCACTCGCAATTGCCATATGAAATCCCGCTGTGCCAAATGCGGTGAACAACATGTGACTGCACAGTATAGCATGGACATGAAGGACAAACAATCAACCTGCGGGAATGCCCACACATCGACTAGTCCATCGTGTTCCTCCCCAAAACAACGGAAATTTGTCGCAATCTAGATCCAACAACAATCCTCCAGAATTCTAGGAAAGCCAACCTAATAATAAGCCGCTGTCTTCTCCAACAGATGGTTATTAATCAACTGGCAACTCTTGTCACTGAAATGCAAAAAATGATGGTGAAAATTATGCACTTCATGACGAATTTCAACAATCACTCTCAACGTCCTTAATTGGAACGCCCATTCAGTGGGCAGCAAACAAGTCAGATAGCACAATTATTAGACACGACCGGATTCGAGCCCAGAAGGGCGCTGGGGTAGCCATTGCCATCAAGAAAGGACTAGTGTACAGGATGCTGCTAGACTGTCGCCTTTTATTTGTGAAAGCCATAGGTATCGAGCTTGCATCACCCGATGGTCCCATCACAATCAACGCCTTCTATTGTTCGGCTCAGCGCAAGGATTCGGACGGCTCAACTGAACATCTTAAGAACGACATCCAGAAGCTTACTCGTCGGAAGGCTAAATTTATCCTCGCCGGCGATCTCAATGCGTGCCACTCGCTGTGTGGAAATACAAGAAACTACAAGAACGGAGTAGTACTGGCCGGAGACCAACAGGCAGGACACTATGTGGTGCTTCATCCAGAATCACCTACCTTCTGCTCACCAGCTGGTGTCGGGTCCACCCTCGATATCGCTCTCACCAATATGGTGGACGGTTGCTCAACACTTGTGCCATTACCGAACTGTCATCCAATCACCTAGCGGTGACTTTAGAGCTGGATCAAACCAACGTCAGCAGCATTTACGGCGAAACTATCATCGAGCAACTTGCTCCCAGATCCAGCGGTACGTGGAGGATCGAGTGATTGAAAATTCTGCGATAACGACGACGGAAGACATCGACGAGGTGGTGGGGCGGATCAATGGTTCATACCGACAACCCTAACGACATGTAAGTCTACCAACCTTGATGATGAGCGTTTAATGATAATGGCCAAGCGTATTATTTCCCTTAGAAACTGTGCTAGTCGGCAGTTCCAAAGAACACAGAATCTTAATAGGAAAATCCTCTAAACAAAATTAAAGAACATTAATGAAGGCCTTTCTGGTGTCTAGCTAAAGTGCTAAACAAACAAACCGAAGCCCATTCCGCCGCTTAGAGGAGCTAACGAGGTTCATATTACAGCCGTCGAGAAGGCTAACTCTATTTATCATCATTTTATGGCCTCGCATAATTTGGGTCGAGGCTTCGGTGTTCGAGAGAATCTTTCAGTTTGCAACTGCGCCTAGCGGGCTTCCAGATGACTGAAGAATCACACTGAATGAGTTGATGTACACCATCAAGTCAACAAAGAATACCGTATGCGTGATAATGTTTGCACCATTGAGCAATGTCAAAATTTAAAAAAAATCTCAGAGATTTCGTTTTCGAGTTTTTTATTTATTCAGTTTCTCCGAGTCTTAAACTATGTTAATCATCGATCGAGTTTCCACTTGCTGCAATTACGGCCTCCACACGCTTCCGGAATGCACGGCAGGTTCTAATAATGTAGTCTGGATCCATTTCTCTCCAGGGTGGCGTTTAGAACAGGCCTTGGCCTTCATAACGCGCCATATTGAGTAATCCAGCGGATTAAGATCGGGGCTGGATGGCGGCCACATATCCTTCGCGCAGAACGGCAGATGTTCCTGCTACCACTTCTGAGTGCGGTTCGGACCGTACTGTTCTTTGATCCACGGAAGAACATACTTACTTAAAATCCCGATGTAGACCTCCGTGTTGACCTTGTCGCCTTCTGGAATGAACACCGGGTCCATTTTTGTTTTGCCATCGGAAGCCACCAATGCAAACACCATAACGCTAGCAGGATGCTTTGTCAGATACACGTTCTTGTGCTCGTTGGCCACGTCTTTTACCGCAAGAGAACTAATATACCGGTCAGTTCTAGAATTTAATACGGGATCGACGGTAAACATGCTCTCGTCGGTGAACAAGATTACCGGATTTTTTCGTTTAAGGAAGTTCAAGATTTTCTTGCATCGTTCGACTTGTAGCTCCCGGATGCGGTTGGTAATCATGTGAGTTTTTTTCCGTGCCCTCGACTTCACCCCGCAATCTTCCTTTACGATCTTCCTTTACGATCTTCCGTGCCGTAAAGTCACTGATCCCGCGTTACTTTGCCATTTTCCTTATTGAACGCACTGGATTCACCCGAATCTTCCTTTTGATAGCAGCGATAACCCTCGGACGACCTGTGGCAACCTGTCCTTTCTTTTCTCGGTCTGCGGTCTGCCTAAAAAAAGAACCAAAAAGTGCCGAAAACGCCATGTTGGAAGTGTGGCGACCAGCACTATGTTCGTGAGTGTCCGTTCGCTTCGCACACCTGTTCCAGATGCAAGCAACAAGGACACAAGGAAGGTTATTGCAACAGCAACAAGAATGCGCCGTCGAAACCGTTCAAACAGGCCAAATCCAAAGAGAACGTGAAGACAAAAAGCATCTACACGGTTCGCAACATCGGAAGCAAGCGGAAGTTCATCCCGGTCGAGCTCAATGGTGTAGCAGTCAAACTTCAACACGACTCGGCGTCCGACATCACCATAATCTCAGAAGAAACATGGATCAGCGTCGGACAGCCACCCACTCAACCGACGGAAGAATCTGCAGTTACAGCTTCTGGTGGCAATCTCAACCTTCTCGCTGAGTTCCAGACCGAGATCACCATCAAGAATATTACCAAGACTGGTCGCATTTTCATCTCAAGCAGCGCTGAACTCAACGTTCTAGGAATCGAGACTATGGATCTGTTCGATTTGTGGTCTGTGCCGATAAGCAGCTTGGTCAACGTCGTACACCAACGTTCTGATCAGTTCACCAATCAACTCAAGCAACAGTTTCCGGAAGTTTTTCGAAGCACGCTGGGTAGATGCACAAAAGCGCAAGTGAAGTTGTACCTCAAGCCTGACGCACGTCCTGCATCGTGACGCAACACGCATCGTGGACTGTTCCAGTATAACCGACTACTCCCCGGAGTCATCATCCAGCGCATCATCGACAGCATGGTGGCCGGCATCCCTGGAGTCAAGCCGTATTTGGACGACATCCTCATCGCTGGTCGCACCAAGCAGGAACACGATCGCAGTCTCTACGCTGTTCTCGAGCAGATCCGTGAGTATGGCTTTCACCTACCCCTCGAAAAACGTCGTTTCGCACTCTCCCAGATCAAGTTTCTCGGACAGATCGTGGATAAGGACGGTATTCGGCCTGACCCTTCAAAAACAGAAGCCATTTCCAAGATGCAGTCTCCGAAGGATGTCCAGCAACTCCGTTCCTACCTCGGTGCTGTCAACTACTATGGTAGATTCGTTAAGCAGATGAAGCAACTCAGGGCTCCTCTGGACAGCCTCCTCAAGAAAGATGCACGCTGGAACTGGACCAAGGATTGCCAGAAGTCTTTCGAGCAGCTCAAGGCCATTCTACTTTCCGACCTGCTGCTTACACACTACGACCCGTCCAAGGAAATCGTTGTTGCAGCAGATGCATCGAAGTATGGCCTTGGCGCTGTCATCATGCATCGATTCCCGACCGGTGAAGTGAAGGCAATTGCGCACGCCTCGCGCTCACTGACCCCAGCAGAGATGAACTACGGACAAGTGGAGAAGGAAGCATTGGCCCTGATATTCGCTGTCACCCGTTTCCACAAGAAGCAATTCTCGACGACACCATCAGCAACCTTCCAGTCACGCACCAGATGATTGTGGCTGAGATACGAAAGGATCCAGTTCTTCAGCAAGTGGTGAATTTCCTTAACGAAGGTTGGCCAGCAATTGCGAAGCAAGTTGCTGATCCTGATGTCAAGAAGTTCTTCGCCAGACGAGATGGACTTCAAGTTGTCGACAACTGCGTTATGTTCGGCGATCGAATCGTCGTCCCATCAAAGTTTCGAAAGCGGATCGTTCGTCAACTGCATCGTGGACACCCAGGAATGGACCGAATGAAGTCTCTGGCCCGAAGTTACATCTACTGGCCTAACGTTGACGACGATGTGGAGCAATTTGTCCGCCAGTGCACTGCATGTGCTGAAGCAGCGAAGTCCCCGACAAAAGCAACCTTGGAGTCATGGTCTCTCCCGGACAAGCCATGGCAACGTTTCCATATCGATTTTGCTGGTCCGATCCATGGATACTACTATTTCGTCATGGTAGATGCTTTCTCTAAGTGGCCCGAAATTTTTCGCACTCAATCCATTACCACAACTGCAACCCTGAATATGCTGCGTGAAACGTTTTCTCGTTACGGCAACCCAGACACATTGGTCTCAGACAACGGAACGCAATTCACCAGCGAGCAGTTTCAACAGTATTGCCGTGCAAATGGTATCACCCATCTCCGCACTGCTCCCTACCACCCGCAGTCCAACGGCCAAGCGGAGCGATTCGTTGATTCACTCAAGCGTGGCCTCAAGAAGCTAGCCAAGGGGGAAGGATCACCCACACTGGAGCACCTGCAGACATTCCTTTCGGTGTATCGTTCAATCCCAAACCGAAACACACCGCAGTCGACGTCTCCAGCATTCCTCGGAAGACCAGTGCGCACCACTTTGGACCTACTGAAGAAACCTGTTCCTGTAACTGAAGCTGTCAAGAACCACAAACAAAACGAACAGTTCAATTGGCGGCATGGAGCAGTCAAGCGCGAGTTTGAAAAAGTAGACTTGGTCTACGTTGAACAGCATCGCAGAAACGCCAAGTCCTGGATTCCTGGTCGAGTCATCGAACGGAACAAATATATCGCTGCACTGGACATGAACGGGAGACCGAAGCTGGTGAGGTCACATGTAAACCAAATGCGCCCTCGTCACACTTCTGATGATTCAGAGCAAGCGACGCAGCAACTAACATGGGAAATCCTGCTTGATGAAATTCAAGATGAAGCTGTACCGTTGGATCCAGAAGTGCCATTCAATCACGATGTCCCTATTCCTGTTGGTTCCGTATCACTCGAAGCTGATGGTCAAGTGGCAAGTACGTCTGGCGAAAATCCTTTTTCGACAATCGATCATGAACCTGCTGTTCAAGATGGAGAACTTCAGTCCGCACAAAAGCCCGTGTCATTTGAAGCAGTTGGAGACTTTATTCGACGTTCTGTACGAAAATCAAGAATTAAGATGGCTCTCTTCCTATGACATTTTCTAAAAGGGGGAGATGTAGTAGGCCTTGCCTGACTGTCATAAGTTAGAGACTGTTTCCTTATCCGACCACCAACCAAGATAGACGTAATAAATAGTAGCTCTTAACAACAGCTTGTTTTACTTGTTTGCCTTGGTTTCGGATATAACAGAGAGCGAAAGTGGAGGTGGGTTGGCCACACACTTCGACGGGGCGGAAACGAAATCTGCAAGCAAGCGCTGGATTGGAATCCGGCAGGACATCGTAGCAGAGGCAGACCCAGGGGCTTATGGCGGCGTAAGCAAGTCGATAGGAATCTGACCTGGGCCCAGGTCAAGGCAAAAGCGAGCAGCCGCCCAGGATGGAAGTCTTTCACGTTGGCCCTTTGCACCGCTAGTGGTGCACAGGACCCTTAAGTAATTAAGTAAGTTAGCTTCAGCTGACGGGTTTGCTTACTGCGCAGAAGATCGTGGGTTTATTCTCAAGTTCCCCCAAAAAAACAATCATATGCATTTGGTCGTATCGCCAGCTTGAGGCAAATCCTGACCTAACATCCTACCCAATTCTCCAACTCCGTAGTACTTACGAGGGTGTCGCTAAGTCGGTGGCCTCTCGTTCAGTAAGTACTACATTAACATTTCCTTCCTAGGGTCACGGTAAAGATGGGCGTGGCTGGGAATAGCGACAATCATGTTTTCGGTATACTTGTTTAAATTACCTGAAAAACTAAGAATTGACATGAAATCATATGTACAATGCCACCAATATTTAAAAAAAGTTTAATAACAACATTTCTAATACTGAATATCAAAATAATCATTCATAATCATTCAGCAATTGATCAATGATCGGTAAACGTCATGGCCATGGATAAATGCTGCACACTAAACAATGTGAAGTGTGCAACAATTGGGTGGTCTGATTGTGCTTTGCAATTAAAAACCTCAAACTCTACTTAATATTTTTCGGATAATTTTGAAGCATTGGACGTGATCATAATCAGGTTTACAGCTTAGAAGTCAATTAATTTTAAATTAGGCAACAATGTAAAAAAACAAAAACTAATCTTGGTATTTTGATCCATGTTTTTGACGTAGGAATACGTATTAGTGGGGTGAAAATCAAATAATTGTGTGACGAAATAGGGTTAGGTTTTAAACGTTTATAACTTGGCCATTTATAGATGACTAGTTTTTTATCATAAGTAAAATATTAAAAATTGATCTAACTTTTTGCCGTAATCAACCAATTACGTGCTTGCTTGCTATGGAAATCGAGAGAGAACAGAGAGCGACGAGCCGATAGCGATGTTATAAAAGACCAACCCTGTACGGTTTATTTCAGTTCGTCTAAGGATGTAACGGTTAGCATTAGATTCATAGTGATTAGATGCCGTAGATTTGTTTCAATATAAACAATCGGACCAAATAGATAGTTGTTATTTTCGAGCAAAGTTGTTCAGATGGACAAGACCTATTGAATAATTAATAGTTCAGTTGAGGATTTCCTCACAAGGTGGTGGTATTTCGCTTCTAATTGTTTGCCATAGCTTGACATCTCGACTAGATAGAATGTTGTGGTCACGTGAGAGAATGATACACCATAATCACGCATCTTCATGCCACGCACAACTTTAATGTCCAAGAACCAGTTGCCATCAATAACTGCGTTGGTACGAAGGTTGAATTGAACTGATTCATTAACATAAATAGCAGCATCGCCAGCAACATTATATCCCGGAATACTAAACTGATCAAATGCTTCAATTTCTACACTATGAGTTACTGCTAATAAAACTTAAAGTGGACGTTTTTCCTCAACAATCTGACGTAACAACCCTGCAATATACAAATATAAAAAAATCAAATTGATTCTCATTCCTCCTGGCACTTGGTTGCTAATCATTGATAAAGAAAAACCCCAACCGATTCAGCCCCCGTACTTACTTCCTATGCGAATGAAAGCTAGCGTAGGTGAAGCTCTTTCCCTCGTACTCGCCGAAGAACCGACTATCACCGAGCACGATATGGTAAATTTCATTCCCGGAGCACTTGCCGTACAACCGGTGCCACTCCTCCGCCGACTGTTGACCTTCCCTGCGAAGTTGTCAAAGCAAAACAACAAATGGTTAGAATGTCATTCGCGTAATTGTCACACACACACTTTAATGCTACAGAAATAGACCGCTCTTGCGCTCGGCGAATGGATGCGATACTTACTGGCCCCTCGACGTGTGCAGCAGGAGTGTCACCAGCGTACTCGCCCCCGGACATGTACAGTTGTTCGCTAATAACGCGTATTTGAACTCGTCCTCGCAAACGACGTGCTCGGCAAACTTCACATGCAGCTTGTTCTCGGGCCTGCAAAAAATCCAGGAGCAAGGTTATCATCACTGCCGCCCTAATTGGTCCAAATGAAGGAAGTTGGAATGCCTACCGGAAGATCTGCACGTACTGTGGCACATTGGGGGCGAAATCCTTGACCGCCCAGGAACGCAGTATCGTGTGTTCGTCGGCGGCCGTCTTGTCTGCATAGTTGCGTGCCGCCAGGATGAAGCACGCCTCCGCCTCAGCCATCCGGGCCCGTGCCAGATCGCCGTCCTTCAGGCAGGATCCCTGTAAAAAGAAAAAAAAGAAGCGGACAATGAGCGCAAACGGAGTGATTCGCTTTGATTGCAAATCTCACCTGAATGTAGATGACTCGCTGGGCCCAGATCGGTACCTGCAGTATCATCCGCATCGTCGTGTCTAGTTCCATCGGGCTGAGCAGTACCACGTAGTAATCCTGCAGCAGGGGATGGGCGTAGAACTCGTTCAGGAAGTCCATGATGGTGTCGGCGTGCAGCGTCGTGGAGCAGACGACCACGTGCTTCTCGCTCTGGGCCCGGTGGGACGAGTAGCTGCCACCCAGCTTCTGCCGTTCCATCCACGTGAAGGCTAGCTGCTCGAACTGCACGGGAAATGGGAAAATCGTTATGGAACCGTTCTCTCTGTATCCTCTGCGGGAACGAACGCTGCATATCATAATGTGTGGAGCAGGAATGCAAGGGGGGGTAGCGGTGCATGGAGTTTATATTTAATTATATTCAGTACACATCATATGGTTCTTTTTCCTTGTTCAAGGGACCCAGACCGAGGGAAACTTTTAACTGTCGGTGGTGGTGGTGGGGCCGGGCAGTCGTAAAAGCATAATGTGACTCGCCAGATTTTTCGGAAAATGTCGAAGCAAAATTTGATAATGGAACACCATTCCGATCTTTTAAGGCAAACACACTAAATGAATTGCCAGTACAGTGGAACGACATATGCCACGTCCATATGCCAGGACACCGCCGAGTGACGACAATGTGGCTGCATCCGTTCGTTCGCTTATCCATTCATTCATTTATTGTTTGCATTTATCTCCCCGAAGAGATAATTCTAAACTACTGCCGCAGTGTGAGTACGTGTGCAGTTGTGTATGCAAAGTGAGTTTGAAATTATTGCATTAGTGCCAAAAATGAAATGAGCACTACCTCTGCTTTGGCTGGAACTGGAAGTGGCATGGTGTCTCGCTCTCCATTCGGTAGGAGGTAAATGGGATAGAATAATGGAAAAGTGATTGCAGGGACAATGGCCAAATGGGGATTAGATTTCGGATGAAGGATGCAAGCATTTGCAATCATCACGAGCAATGTGTCTCCATGTGATTGGTGGTGAGGGCGGACAGTTTGTGATTCACTTAAAGATGGTAGAACATCAGTTAAATGATTTCGTTTAGCTTTTGTGGCGCCATTTTAGTAGGATTCAATGTTAGTAATCAATCAACACTTTTATAGTATTTGAAAATGCAAATTCTTTAGATTCATGAATTATTATTGCAAATAAATATATCTATTGGAAAAATCTTTAAAAATAGGAAACTTCACCACATGATAATTTTAAGAAAACAAAAACACACTTTCAATTCATTTGAGTTATCCAAGCGTATTTTCCTTGACTCGGTAAATTGTATTTTGAAAAGCATTAAAGCAATTTGGAACAATTTAAAATTTACTCTGGTTTATTTCATACAAAAATTTAAAATAATTTAAACTGACAAAGTTAAAAAAATGTCACGAAATTTTCAGTATAAAAAATGTTGGTTGAACAATTAAAATGTAAAATAATCAATTGCATGCTTGAATTGTTAACTGTTGAGATTTTTTTTTAAATCAAATCAAAATCATGAGTGATAATCGAAAGCTTAAGTTCGAGAAAAAAAAAGAAGTAACATACAAGCTGGAATGTTTCAAAACTGCATAATCACAACAGTAGAGGTGGAAAGCATTAAACTCCCAAAATGTTGGAAAATATTAACCTTGAACAACACTGAAATGTTATAGGAATTAATAATACTTGAGGGCAACTTGCTTTTTGAAGATTTGAGTTATTCAGTTGCTGGTGCTGGAAAAAGGATGACACTCTTTAGTCACGTGCATGATGAAATGGTTTTAGTTAGTTTTTTTTTTAATTTTTTAAGCTGGTTCAGATAATTTTACAATGATATACTGTCAAAAAGCAATTAAAGCAATCTTTAAAAAAAAAATTGAAGAAAATTTTAAAAGCACCGAATGGTTATTTTTCTCTAGATGTGTTTCCCGTCGATTTTTTTTCCTTGATTTTTTTTTTTCCGTTCTGAGCACCAATGGTACCAACGCCAGGAAGGCAGCATCCACACCTCGACCCTACCTATCGACTCATCAACTCATAGACCGGGGACCAACGGATTTACTTCCCTTCTGAAGGAAGGCGTGATCAGAGATTTTATGTCTCAGAAAATCCCGGCGGCACCGACTGGGATTGAATCCAGGCCTTTTTGGGGTGAGAGCAGGCATGGAAAATCATTTGCATTCATTTCGTGTATTCATTTACATTCATTTGCCCCTAACTTTTTTCATCAACAGAATTCCGCAAAATAGACTATGGAACTTTAGTAGGTTTTATTATTAACTACAACTTTTGTTAACAACTCAAATCCGTATCTCTTATGTATGACGAACCAGAGCGAACAGAAGCCACTACTGCTTTTCAGTGAATGTATTTTACATTCATTGAAAAACAGTAACAACTTCTGCCCGTTCTAATTCGTGATGCATAAGAGATACAGATTTGAGTAATGGACAAAAGTTGTAGCTAATAATAAAACCTACAAAAGCTCTGTACATCATTTTGCGGAATACTGTTGATGAAAAAAGTTAGAGGCAAATGAATGTAAATGATTGCATGAAATGAATGTAAATGATTTTCCATGCCTGGGTGAGAGGGAATCACGCTTACCACTACACCACCAAATGGTTTTATCACAATTAATAGGATAAGATGAGGTGAGATGCACCCCGGAGTAAGATTGGTTTTTACAAACTTTGAATACATTTCCTTAATAGATCCTCCCGCCAACGCACGACTATATTTTCTGTACATAAATAAATAAATAAATTAATTAATTAATAAATAAATTAATTAATTAATAAATAAATAAATAAATAAATAAATAAATAAATAAATAAATAAATAAATAAATATATAAATAAATAAATAAAAAAATAAATAAATAAATAAATAATTTAAAAAACAAATAAATAAATAAATAAATAAATAAATAAATAAATAAATAAATAAATAAATAAATAAATAAATAAATTAATTAATTCATTAATTTATTCATTCAGAAATCAATAAATAAATTATTAAATAGAAGAAACGTCTCTAATGTTGGCCTATGGATCTAATACTGGGCCCGTCGCTAAAAATCTGCTATTTATCAATTTTATCTAGATGAACGCGTTATTGGGACGTTACTAATGGATATTTTTGGTTGCTATTGAAAATTTAGTCGATTTCTTAATTTATGTATGGGCCCAAATAAGGGCATGCATTCCCTAGATAAAAAAAAAATAAAAAAAAAAATACATGAATAAATACATAAATAAATAAAATAATAAGTGAATAAATAAATAAATAAATAAATAAATGAATAAATCAATAAATAAATAAATAAATAAATAAATAAACAAACAAATAAATAAATCAAAAAATACTAAATTAATAAATTTATTGATAAATTAATAAATTAATAAATTAATTACTCAGAAGTCCGAAAACTTCTGAGATTTTTTTATTGGATCTTCAAGGATTTAGAAGAACGTCAAGAGAACCTCAGAAAGATACATTAAGGAATATTGTGGAAACTGTAAAGAAGTTCCGAGTGCCAAGAGAAGTGCTGCAAAATATCAACATCCTTACCTACAAAAACACTGAATTTCACTAGCCACCGGATGTCAGTATCAGTTCACACAGTTAGAATATCAATATCATTCGCCTCAATGTCAGTGCGCAAATCACATTGACCTCGTAAAGGGACCACTAATATTCAGCCACAGCCGAAGTTCAGCTGCAAATTTTACTTATATACGCCAGCTTATAAGCCAGTACCGCTCTTTAGAAAACTCATCAGTAATATTTAAAAAAATCAAGAGTAATAGAAAAAAGTTCATATATTGAGATAAAAGTGGGATTTTCAACTTTACCCTAGTGATATTATGCTTACTTAGTATCGGAAATAAAATCCAGTGCTAGGCCAATATCTTGCGTCAATTGACATTGTTGACAGCACGCAGTACTGATCTAGATAACTTCAGGGAAGTTCCGAGAACTTCAGAAAGCTCCAGACATTTAGGGATGTTTTAAAATCAGTAAGTTTAACTTCAGATCAATTCAGGACACATCCATGAGCTTCATGAAAAACTTCAAGATCCCTAGAGTGTTCACTCGGCTGTCGACAAAAGCAGTCCACTCTCGATGTTTGCCACGCGATCGTCTGTTTTTTCGGCAGCATCCATTGTGTGGTCCTCCTCATTGTTCTTCATCAGCAGTTCTTTCGGTCGATGCGTCGTCGACTTTGGAAAGCAACCGTTTCGTGATGAATGTGTGAGTGCTGACCACGTTTTGCGTCCATTGCTGCAATGGAAGCGCTCTGACCCTCGTTGGCGTAACTGTCATACAATCAAACCACTTGAAGCGGCTCCAGTTCTGATGGAGGAGGCATTTTGCATAGCGGAAGATAAAGTGTTTATTGTGTTGTACCTTTTGACTATAGTTTTAAGATGTATTGTATAGTGACCAAGAATCCTCGGCTCTGTAAAGTTAATTCGGTTGAGCCTTATCAAATAAATTAATAAATTATTTATAATTCAAGATCCCTTAAGAAGTCCCGGGAATTTAAGGGAAGTCCAGAGAACAAAAAAACTATTAGAAATATTTCGGGAACTTCACAGAAGTCCGGAGGATTTAAGAGAAGTTTAAATGTTTTTAGGACAGTTCCTTTTACTTCAAGGCAGTACCAAAAACTTCAATAGTATTTAGAGAAGTCGACGATGATTTCAATTAAATTGAATAAACGTTTAAGAAGTTCCGAAAAATCAGGTTATTTTCGAAAATTAATCGAAGTTCGAAGAGCTTCATTAAAATTTCAGAAACGTTAAGGAGTTTACATGAGCATCAGTAAAATGATAGAACATTTTTTTGGAGTTCAGCAAAAATCGCAATCATTGTTATTCCATAATTTAAGGAAGGAATTAAGGGATATTCCGAGAATTTCAAAAATTTTCCGATAATTCAGGAACAGTGGGGGGTCTTCATAGAATTTTACGAATATGATGAAAATTGCCGGAACATTAGAAAATGGGTGCTTCAGAAAAAAAAACGAAACCTCTGCTAAATCCAGAGAAGTTCCTGGAAAATTAGCGATTATAATGGAAGATCCGTGAGCTTCATGCTAATTGCTTTATTTGATCAGGCTCAACCGGATGAACTATATGCAGCACTATAAATCCAATAAATTTTAAAAACTACAGTGAATCACTGATTCGAATTTAGCGTAGCAAAAAGAGAAATTTCTTGGTCATTCCTAGCTAAAAATATTATTTTCTA